TTCATTATGTAATCCGTAAAGATGCATTTCTCTCTAAAGGCACGTCCAATGAGGATGGATAGTCAACATTGACTCAGAAAACATTAGTTTATTAACAAATAATTCAAACTGACTTGCTACGCCACTGAATAAGACTGCACCCGCGTTGTAACACAAATAAATGTAAGGTTTTTCGATGTTCCCCTTACTTTAAATGCATGCTTATGGCTCATTATTATTAATCCTCAGGCTACCTTAAAACGTTCGTAGTTTGTGGTTTATTATCTTATTCATTAAAACACATCAGCCATAAAATAGTACAATGGCAAATTCGCATATATTAAACATCTACCTTGCATTGACAAAATGAATAAGTTGGATATAGCCGTTGTAGCCCAAATAAATATGGTCTTTTCCCTTATTTAAAACGAATGCTTAGTTTGTGGTTCATTGGTATTTTTTTAATGAAAACCCAGCAACAAAGACACTCACTTGTATGCTATTAAACGAATAAATGAGAGTTTTATTAACAAAAGTTGTGCTTTGGATCCGCCATCACAGTGTCTTCTCGCATCACTCTTGTCACGTGACACCCCCCCCCTCCCCGCGGCTATGCACTGACCCTGTATATTTCACTAAAAAAAGACCATGACCTACCGTTGTTTGTCATCCTATTTATTAAAATGTATTGCAAATGGTCTCTCTCTGTTTCATTACAGTATTTAATCATAGAAAATGAATTAAATGCATTGGCTCTTTTAAGCTGCCAAGCCAGGATTTCCTTACAATTACAAAATATCATGACCTTATAGATAACATGCACAAAGAAACAAAACACCAATTGCCAGATGCAGTCTTTTTAAGAACTCATAATACAAAGAAGCCAGTTAGAAGTTCAGATAAAAATTTAAAAAAATCTTTAAAAAACATTACATCACTAACTCAATCAAAAATCAATATTATTTGTAAATTCACTCAGGGTTCCCACTCTTTTTCAGTGATCATTTTCCAGGACTTTGAGGACTTGTCCAGGACATTTTTAATTGAATTATGGCGACAATAAAAGACAAGGATCATGCCCTAAAGCAATATATTCGTCTCTACATAAGTCATACATTTTATGGCCATGACTTAACTTAAAAAATCAGCTCTTTAATATGAGCTCTTAATTAAACATTACAACAAATGATTTTCAGAACCAATTTCAGCCCCATAGCAAAAAAAAAAGTATTTAATTATTTTATTAAACAATTTGAAAATGAACATAAATCAAATCAATTTATTATTAATGCTAATAATAATATAAAAGAAAATACTATTTTAAAATACTGGCATGTATCCTTCAAATATTTTGTAATTAAGTATTGCTTTAAAAGGGTCAAGTGAAAAATGAGTGGATTCTGACTAGAAACACCTCTGATTGGCCATTGCATATCACTGTTCATGGAAAGCGATATAAATATTTACAGAAGCGTTGGAAAGCAGCAGCCTATCAGCGAGTACTGAATTGAGTCTGTACCACTGATCTATATAATATATATTATAGATCAGTGGTCTTTACTTGGTACTACCAGTGCGTCAGAAAGGCCGGTATTATTATAATAATTAATATATTAAATTTTTTCAGTATCAACTTAACAGAAGTAGCCCACTTTTGACAATAATCAAAATTATTAGTTAACAAGTTACTGAATCACTGAAATACTTCTCTTAAAGGGGTCATATGATGCGATTTCAAGTTTTCCTTTCTCTTTGGACTGTTACAAGCTGTTCGTGAATAGATAAGATCCCTGAAGTTGCAAAGACTAAAGTCTCAAAACCAAAGAGATATTCTTTATCAAAGTTAAGACTCTGCCACACCCCCCTAAAACGGCTCGTTCTAACACGCCCCCACATATCTAGGTCACTATGTGGGAATATTTGCATAATGCGCCCAAATGTGCAAGCAAAGAAAGAAGGCGTGGTTTCAGTAACCGCAGTTAGTGTTGAAGCAGCCATGTCAGGGAGACGCTGTGTGTTTCTAGGCGAAAGCAAAAGCACTTTATTTGGCCTTCCGAAAGTAGATGCATTTAGGAATCTTTAAGATCACTTACAACAGAACAGCAATGCATTTTATGGACGACCGTTTCATGAACCTAGGAGAGGAGGTAATTCTGACTTTGCTATGACAATCTGGCGCTTCTGAATCAGCGACT